TAAGCATGCATACACTATAATCCATTACTTAGAAACATGTATTTTTGATATACTTGGACCCAAAAATATATATATATATGTGTGTGCACATGTAGTTATATTTCTATTTTACTACTAGTATAGGGTGCATGGTGTCACAGATTACCCTTTATTATCCCTTTCAGTAATGACTCTGCATTCTTGTGATGGGAGAACACAACAAATAGTGAACCAATAGTTCGGCCATCCAGCCAACTGGAAAGGCAAAAATACAAAGGTGAAGCAAACATAATGCATTCTCATTCAAGTGGTCTGAATGACTGAATGTTTTTTATACCATAGGCTTATCATAGTTCCTGCAGTAGGACTGTTTGATTTGACTTACTCTTTTGGCTAATGAAGCTTATAAGCTCTTAAAAAATAAAGGAAAACATGTTTGGTTTATCCTATTGTTGTTTGACTTATTGATAGAGAATGGTTGGTAAAGAATATTAATTAGTTAAAAAACTTAATAAAAAAACTAAAATGAACAAACCAATAAGGATTGGTAGTTTATAATAGGAATATGTTGATCAAAATTATAAAAGATAAAATTAGGTTTTTTATGTAATTTATAAGTCAAAAGAAAAAGTAGGTTTTTGGAGCTTTTTTTGGCTCTTACTTACAAGGGAATAATGAAGCCAAAGTAAACACCCTCCTAATATGTGGGCATAAATTTGTATTGCATGTGCAAGATGCAGTTCTATAGATGTAATGATTTTGATATAGCGTAAGTGCCTTAGACTTCAATTGCCTTGAGCTGGTAGCAAATGTTTTATTTTTGTTTACAAAGTATTACAACACCTTAATGCAGTTAACAGTATCATACTACGAAACAACTGGAGGGAAAAGATGATGAAGCTAAGAGTTGTTCATTATGATGCTTCTCATTATACATTCACAGCGAGTCTCCCATTAGGACAACTACTATTGTTCATGGTGTTCATATATTTGATTTATCTGGCAGTTGATGGAGATGGCTGGAAGGGTATCTGAAAAGTCAATGCCATGCAGAAAATCAGTTTAAGCTGCTGAAGTTACATACGCTGTTCTTAGTCCAGCTTCTAGTAAGAACCATTTGAATTTTCACATCTGAGATGCAATTGACCAGCCAAGTTCTCAGTAACATGATTGCCATCGTAACACATGGCTGGAACTAGAAAAATTAGTGGCAAAAGAACCAGCCAAGGAATTAGAGAGTGGGAAGTGAGACCCAAATTTGGCTTCTTGTAGATAACTCTTTTCTCGTTTTCCAGGTGTGGAACCGGTCAGATAAAGTTCAAGATAGGTATATATATTCATTCTCTTGTTTCCTTTACATTATATTAGTTACTATTTGCTTTAAAGTTGATTTACACTTTTTAAGTGAAAATTCAGTGCTTAGATTTAGACATGCTTATATATATCCTGCCTAGGAAACTTAGTATATGCAAGAACCGAATATTGAATAAATGTCTTTTGATTATCTGTTCTAATTGGCTATCACTTTGAATAATCTAGATTAAGAGATGCACCCAGGTATATTGAGAAAAAAAAAAAAAAAAGAAAAGAAAACATTGTACAATAAAACCTGAACAAAGTCTACAGGGAAAATAGATGAGAAAATGTGTCTGGTAAATATGAGGAGAGAGAAGTTACTGGTTTAGTTGCTTACACTAAAACTAAGAGTTGTATAGATATATCTGTATAAAAGCTTACTCTCCATGTTTTTTTATCTGCTGAAACTTCTATTTTCTTAATCGAATTAAACAAGAAACAACTGATGATGGCATCTTATGCTGAATGCAGGTTGCTCCTTTTTGGGGTTTATGAAGGCAAATAAAGGCACCCAATAAAAGCACCATTCTTTCAAGCTTAGATAAACCCACTGAAACAAATATAACTTGGGTAGTTCTTCTGTACTGTTATCCTATTTTCTGTTCTACGTTTAGCTTGAGTTTAATTTAAATTTTAGTTCTATAAGATAAAAATTAAACATGATATAATAATACGATCATCATCTTTTAATGGAAATTGAATAATAATTTCAAATTAATTCTATATTCAATTCAAAGTTGCTTGCTTCCATGATTTCTCTTTTTACAAACATGTATTCTTTTGTACATACAAAATTGTTGTTATGGGATTAAAAATATAAGTAGAGTTATTATATATCCTATTATGAATATTTATTATTATTATTTTTTTTTTGGAAACTAAACAAAAAATTATGTTCAAATTTAACCCAATTTTTTCACACACCACCCCACAAATACTTGCAAATCTTGATGATTTCTTCCCCTGAATTTATTAATTTTTGTGCATCATTTGTAACAAAATACGAACTAATTTTAACCAGATAACAATTACAGACTCCAAGCAAAAGACAACACAAGCTGATAAAATCAGTGTATACGTACATATATATATATATACACACACACACATACGTACACGAGGAAAAGAAGTGGTCAAAACCTTCAGTGCATCTTAAGATGAAACTTTTCCAACAGCGTCTCCATCTTGGCAAGAATAGCCAAGCTGTTACTCATCAACTCTTTCGATTTTTGCATCCTCCTCTTCACCTCGTCAACAACCGTTTCCCCCATCTCCTCCAAACCATCAGCGCAAGTCTCCTGATCAGTCATGGCAGCGCTGATCCACGTCTGCAGATCGTTAACCTTCTCCGCAGTCAACACCTTCCCTTCCGCTCCCACCTCCATCGCCGACACCGAGTCACTGAGTCCACTCACTGCGTCCTCCAACAGACTCGCACAATCGCGCAAAGCAGCGTCCCCGTGAAGATTGTTGAGAGTTTTGATAGAAGATGAGAGGTTAGATAGCTCGGCTATGGAGACTTTGAGAGAGAGATTGAATACGAATTCTGGATCTGGCTTTATTGAGGTGTTGAGGGATGATATGCTGGTGAAGCAGGAGTCCGGATACGGAGTCACGCCGCAGACTGCTCTCATCGACTCGCTGGAGGAGATGGATGATGATGATGATGATGACTCGGGTTGTTTGATTTTGGATTCATGGATAACTGCTGCAACTATCAAAGAGATTATTAGGATTAAGAGAACAGTTGCTGAGATGGCGATGACGGTGAGTAGCCTCTTTCTGGTAGGTTTCTGATCGGCTACCTGATTTTCTTGGTGGCTTACTTTGCCATATCCTTTCAAGGCGTTAATGGAATCCATATTCCAATTGCAGAAAATGTTGACGAAAATCTCAAGCTTCAAATGGAATTTTGTTCAATTATATATATATATATATATAAATATATGGAGAAGAATGAAGGGCATGGATTAGGCAAGCTAATAAATAATAATTATATACGAACATACATACACACTGGCGTCTAATTTTTAGTTTGACCAAGTTTTGGTCATAATGAATTTCAAACATATTCTACCAGCTAAATTTAATAGCAAGAGGAAATTCTATATATCTATACATACACACACACACACACACACACACAATGACTAAGTCCCTTCCCCCCGTAGAACTTTGCCCTATTCTGGTTCGTTAGCCTGTTGTCAACTTTCTTGCTAACTGGCTGAAGCATTCTCTGACAGGAACAATTATGCACTAAACATATTTTATTTATATTTATATACAAATTAATATTATACAATCCACAATCAATATGATCATTAAAATATACAAATCATTGTGAAAAGATTATTTTACTCATTACTCAGATGTTTCATATGGGCAAACTCTTACGTGTACGATCTTTTATATTCATATGATCCTTTAGATTCATTCATGTTATAATACTACACAAAATATAAATTATTTTATAAGTAATGTCAAAACTTATCTCTTATACTGCTAAAAACTTCAATACCCCACAAATTTTTTTTTAAAAAAAGACATAAATTTTAGTGTAGAATCTCCAGATTTACAAAAGAAAAAAAATATTGTTTTTGCATTAACAAATGCTGGAATTTCAAGTTAATCTGATTCAACAGTCACTATTTGCGTATGAGATTTGCAACAAAATTCAAGTTAATCTGAAATGCGTAGCAAGTTCAAGTCAATATAATTTTGCATGTGAAACACTTAATTCCATCTACATTTTACATGAACAGACTATGAAAGAAATATATAGTAAAAAAATTTCAATTCTACATGAATAAACTGCGAAGAAGACACACAATAAAAATCTGATTATATATTTTATTGCACCACTTGTTTTTTCATTAATAAAATTAGGGTAACAATTTTAGTGTTTACTTGAACTTTTTATAAAATCTCGTGTTAACATTTTGAAGCTCCCTTTAAATGTGGGGGAAATGATTTGAGTTAAGGTCTTTTTTTCTTAAATATTTAGTTTATTTTTATTTTAAATGTACTTTTAATTTCTAATTGTTCAAAAATACAATAATAACAAATATATATATATATATATATGTAACAATATGCTAATCGTACATTCATCATAAGGCAAATGTCTTACACTTTTGAGCTTGATAATAAATTTGTAATGTCTGATTTCTCTTTTAATAAAAAATTAAATTATTTTATAAAATTTTTATTAAATATAATCAGCGTAATAATATAGTTTATATTGAAAAATGATATTACATCAAATAATTAGTGAAACTTAAAAAATTATTTCAAACCTGAGCCTTAGAAAATAAAATAGAGAACATAATTTTATTAAATCTTATATATTTTTTATTACATGGATCAAATATTAACAAATTTTTTTTAATATGTACATATATATGATTTACAATAATTAATAAATAGTGATATTCTAAATAAAAAGAATATTTCACGATTGTTTGATTTTTTTTTTTGTTTGAATAATAAAAAAAACATTTTTATGACTAAATTAATTAATTAGAGCAGAAACAATGAGTTTTTTTTTTTAAAAAAAAAAAAAATTAACCTAGCCTTATTACTTCAATACCATATAATAGCTGCATATCAATATAGGATTTGACTGTATAGTGCCAGTTCAACTCTCTCTTCCCTTCTGGAGATGGAAATCTAAGTTGGGTTATGATGTATAATAAGATTATGAATGTGTGAGTAAAATACATAAGTATATACATATACACATACATATATATATATATGTATGTTATGTGAGTTGCTAGCATTTGACAAATGGAGGGATTGTTGGGCATATTATGATCTAACCATTTAAATCATAATAACATTAATGATGCTCCTAACTCTCTAGTGGTAATCCCAAATTAAGAGTAAAACATTAACTATATCATTAATTTATTAATTTGAAAACCAGGAACTAATTCACTGGTTTTAAAAATATTTAAATGGATAAAAAAGATGGCTGAAGAAATGCAAATGCAAGTTTAAAGTCCCACATTCTCAGGTACAGAAAATTCCAGCCTTTCCTTCTCTTTCTCTCTCCCTTCTCATCCGTTCATTTCTCAATCTTCACTTTCTGTTTTTAAATCACAACAATTAATTCAAATCAAATTCAAAAAACCCTCCTTTCACGCTTTGATTTCATTCATTTTCCCTCTTACCATCCAACCTCTTTCTTTCCCTCTCTTGTGTTGTGTGGGTTGCGCTGAACCAACAATTGAAGAGATACATTACAGGGGATTTTCGAATTCATGGCGACGAATATAGGAATGATGGATAGTGCTTACTTTGTCGGCAGAAATGAGATTCTCTCATGGATCAATAACAGGCTTCGTCTCAATCTCTCTCGTATTGAAGAGGTTCTTCCTTCGCTTTATTCTTTTCTTTTAAAGAACCGAAACATGTGACGGTTGCGTATGAATGGGCAATGGCTTTTATTGTTTTGGCCGCTTTCCTTTGCTTTCTATAACTGTATGGTAATCGCCCCCGCTGGGCGTCCCGTGGAGGATTGATTGGGGGCAAATTGTTTTGCCAGTAGATTGTCATTGCCATCGCTTTCTTTTTAATCTAGTAATGGGTTTGTTTGGTTGTCGGCAATCATGAAGGATGGGGGAGGAATAGATAATTTGAGATGGGTTCGGAAATATAGACTCCATAAAGCAGACGACTGATGAGAAACTTGTTTAAGTGTACTTCTTTCATGTGGGTATTTGGAATGAAGGGTTCATGCGACTTTTTGAATGATTATGCTTATTTACTTCTTAATTCTTACATTTAAATGTATCTCGTTATACTTGTAGTTTGGGATGGTATCTGTGCAAGTAATAAAACAGTTATCTTTGGGTTTAATGGTGGACTTTGTACCTGAATTATTGCCTGCATGGAGAAGTGGGCTTGTTTACTATGCTAATGCTTTCTAGATTTTGCTTATTCTGCTGCCACTGGTGTTTCTTTTAATGGTGGAAATCAATGTACAGTTAGTTTATAATGCTAAGGGTTTTGAGGGTAATTGCACATGGATGCTGTTTTTAAAATAGATTATTGTTTGTGTTAATCGAACGTGCCAATCAGAGTCATTTTAACTGAATGCTTAAATGTTTCAATAGAGACCACATCTTTCTTTGCTAATATTTCTCGTCTCGATCCTAATGTTTCATTTTCATAAAATGGCTAGGCTGCATCTGGTGCTGTACAGTGTCAGATGCTGGATATGACTTATCCTGGAATCGTTCCAATGCATAAGGTCTGTTGCTAATCTTTACCTCTTCTTCATTTCAATGGTTTTTCATTGTAGTATTATGTATGTGATTATAAGTTTCTTAATTGCAGGTGAATTTTGATGCAAAAACAGAATATGATATGATCCAAAATTACAAGATCTTGCAGGATGTGTTCAACAAGCTGAAAATTGAAAAGGTAATTTCAACATGATTACAGCCCTATATATATATTTTTTAATGCAGTGCTTATGAGAAAGTTGTGCTCTTTCTATTATTTAGTCTTGTCATCCACATCTGAAGGGCTGATTATTTTGTGCAATCACTAACTGAAGTTATTGTAACAAGCTTGAAAGAAAGTTTCTCATCTTCGTGTCTTTTTAGTTCCAAGAAATAGGTTGTTTGGTCTTGTAGTTTATTCAACTATGGATGCTGACCTTTCTATGGGGTGATAGTGAAAATTGCAAGAAATACTACTTAGTGAATGGGTTAGAGATAAAAAAATCCTTAAAAGAAGGGGGATTGGGACTAAGATCAATAGTCAAACTAAACAAGGCGCTTCTTGGTAAATGGATTTAGAGATATTGGAATGAAAAATGATAGTTTTTTGGAAAATGGTGATGAAGTCAAAATGGTATAATGGTAATCCACAAGATTTCTCTTTTATTAAAAACAACTATAGTTACAGTTTATGAAATAACATCATCACACTAAATAATGCGATATTTCAGTGCTCAAAATGGAATATGGGTAATGGATTCAAGGTCCGTTTCTGAGAAGATTTTTGGTGCGGTTCAGAAAAATTAAAATATAAATATCCTCTTATCTACGAGATTGCTAAAAACAAAGCTGTCACGATAAATGATATTGCTGGTTTAGTCTTTTCTGCTTCCTGGAGTGTCCTAGTGGTGAGGAACCTTCAAGATTGAGAACTAGAAGAGTATCAATCCTTACTTCACTTATTGGTAAACACACAGCTGCAAAATTAAAACGATAAATTGCATTGAAAATTAAAAAAGAATGGTCTCTTCAGTGTCAGTTCTCTCTACTCTTTTTAGGCCGGTTATAACTCTAACGAAAAATATCTTTTCCCCTAAAAAATTATTTGGAAATCGGGTGCCCCTCCAAGAATTGTTTTTTTTGCATGGGAAGCCACAAAAGTGAAAATTTTGACAATTGACAATTTGATGAAAATATGCCATATTACTGTCAACAGGTGTTTCTTATGTAAGAGATTTCTTGAATCATGTAGTCATCTACTCTTGAAATGTCAAATATCTCATAAATTCTGGAGCATGATACTCGGTCTTCTGAAGATCTTTTGGGTAATGGCAAATTCTGTTTATTTCTTGAATCATGTAGTCATATATTCTTGAAATATCAAACATCTCACAAATTTTAGAACATGATACTCGGGCTTCTGGAGATCTCTTGGGTAATGGTAGATTCTGTTTATTTCGAACTTCTGGCATGGGAAGATTTGAGTAATAACAAAATTTTAATAGCATCAAAGATAAATGATTTCATTATTTTGATTCTACTGTTTTAGGGCATAATGTAGAATGTTTTGAAGATCTTGGTTTTATTGTAGATATACTAATTGATATGTAAATTTTTTGTAAATGGGCGGTGTTCCCTTAGCACCTCACATTAATACATCTTCTCTTCTTTTATTTAAAAAAAAAAAAAAATTATGGATGCTGACCTTGCCGAATTTGGGCCTGGTATGCCCTAGTCTAAAACCACTCAAAGGTTGAAAGCAGTACACAAGCAAATGTAAAACTTGAAAGGAGATCTGAAATGTGAGGAATATGAGAATAAGAGAATCTGAGGAAATATTAAGACCAACATTTTTACGAATCATTGCCTCCAGAAGATACTGAAGCATGGAGCTGAGGTGATTGGCTCCTTTTGTTATGTTCCTCATCTTTCTTCTGTATGAAGGTTAGAACAAGCAAAAGGGTGGATTTGTATTGCTTTATAGACAGGTATTAGTGCCACGGTCCAGGGACCAAGAGTCAGATTAGTATATCCTTTAGAGTGTAAACTGCATAGGTTTTTGCTTTCTTGAAGCTTGTTTCAGGGTAAGCCTAAATTAGTGAGGTTGCAGTTTTGGTGTAATATCCCATACTACCCTAGGCAGCCTTATTATGATTCTAATCTGAGGAGTCGTCTTGTTTTATATCATAGGCTACATCTCTTTGTTTTCTAGGCCAGACAGCTAGACCCTTCTCTTTCTCCCAAATCGGTTATACTCTTTGGATGCATATCAACTTCCCTATAGATGATAATACTCTGCTTCCCAGAAAGAAATGGGGGGATGAAGAGAGGAAAAAAAATGCAAGCACTTAAGTATAAAATTTAGTAAAGAAGAGGGAACTTACAAGATGATGAAACAAGCACTAGTTCAAGTTGAGCTCGAAGTAAGCTGAGATTTATATAACGTTTCCCTCATTCTATGGCTTATTTGACTATGAAATAAATTCTAGTACTATTTAGTGATCACAGGATTTCATTTATTTAGAATTTAGTTGTTAGATTGGGCAAATTGTCTTAAGTTTGCATATGGGAAAAGGACTTGGTGTAGGAGAGGAAAAGGGTTTCACAGAATAAGGTTCCATTACAAAGTCAGAACTGATGCAAGCAGTCTGGTCTATTACATACTGATGAATGCAATGATATCTTAGTGATGGTTTGTAGTATTAACGTGATTCAAAGTAAACTTGAGATGATTTTGAATGTCATAGTCAAAATAAGTGTTAGTGTATAGGAGTGTCTTTAATGAATTGCAGAGGACAATAGTTAGAACAATGGAGTTCCTGTGCACTTAATGAGAGATCCTTGACCCCGACCCAAAATTTCTATTTAAAACATTTCCTTGTTCTTTCATGTGTCCTTTGTTTAGATAGAGATTCAATTGTGTGTTTGATCATTTACTTTAGTTTGAATAAGTATCAACGAATGAGGTTTAGTTGTACAGCAAAATAAATTTTTATGTAATTTCTTATTTACAAAAGCTACGTTGATGTCCTGGATGTATGTATGTATGTCTGTATGTCTGTATAAAAGAAATTGTATAAAGATTATTTTTCTGCAAAGGCAGTCCTCATTGTTATACGTTGTATCAAATGATACTTATCCAATATGTAAATGTCTATCTGTTATTCTTACTCTACCTTTTTTATGGATTAAACTCGTGTGGCTCATTAGAATTTCAATACCCACATAAATTCACCTGCATACTTTTAAGGAGTGGAACCAATTATGCCAACAATATAATTTAGGACCGAATTCATAAATGTTCTTGATTATTTTGCAGCATGTTGAAGTCAACAGGCTTGTCAAAGGGCGGCCTTTGGACAATTTGGAGTTCCTGCAATGGCTAAAACGTTATTGTGATTCTGTAAATGGTGGCATTATGAATGAGTATGTTGATTACTTCCTGTTTCCTTTTGACAAGTAATAATCATGCTTGGACAGTCTCCCCATAGGTATATATATGTATATATATGAACTTTCATTTTTTAATGTTTTTGAACATTTGGAACTTCTTGCAGGAATTACAATCCTGTGGAGCGAAGAGGCAAAGGTGGAAAAGAGCGGACCTTCAAGGGTTGTAATAAGAGTTCAAAGTCACTGCAAGCAAACAACATGCATGGCCCTGGCTCTGGTGACTCAGCTCTCCTTAACAAAACTTGTGGTAAGCTATTACATCATTTCCGTTTTTGAGTTATTCCTTTATTTTATTTTTTTCCTTTTAGTCTTTTTAATTGTCTTTATGTTTATTGCTTCAGGGCCCAAACAAGGAAAAGTATATACCGGGGCAAGTGGAGCTTCTTCAGCCGAGGTTCAAGCTCTGTCAAAGGAGGTAATAGCAATTACAATTCTCCTTTCTAAACAAGATTTTTTTTTTCCAATTGTTTGGTTCTTTTGCGCACCTATCCCAAATTATTCCCCTTCCTTAGTGACTGGAGGGATACGCATGGATATTTGAAAACTTGGGGAGAATTATCTACTGCTATAACAGTTCTGGTTCTGTTTTTTGAGATGGTCATTATGATGAATTGATACAATGACCAAAATCCCCTGGAAGCTTGGTTACATAAGTGCCTGGGCTTTTCTTGTCTTTTCCTAATTTGTTTATGAGACAGTTGACTGCTTCTTTGGCTATTTTCTGATTTTCAGATAGCTTTCATCTCAACTGTCTGTTAAATCAAATACTAGCCTCTGTTTGGTTGACATCTTTTTGTTGGATCTAAGTTTTTTCTCACTTTTATCATACAGATTACCGATCTCAAACTCTCTGCTGACATTTTGGCAAAGGAAAGAGATTTTTACTTCTCAAAGTTACGAGACATAGAAATACTTTGTCAGACTCCTGAATTGGAGCATCTCCCAGTAAGACCTAGTGGAAATCCCTCTACTTATTTTTGGTTCTATTAGTCATATGATTAATATACTAACGAATTCTGGCTGTTTCCCAGTGACTGTTATATACATTTATATTTATTTGTTTGTTTGTTTGTTCATTTTGTCTTCTTAATATATTGAAGTTAGTTACATGCTTGATGGCAGTTTGAACTTATTATGTGTTATTGAAATGCATCATGCAGATGGCTATAGCAATCAAGAAGATATTGTATGCTGCAGATGCTAAAGAATCTGCACTTGCAGAAGCGCAGGAATATGTGTGCCAAGCCATGGATGCGGATGAAGACGAGGAACAAGAGGAACAGGATGCTTGAATTTTGACACCAAATAGGGCCGAGTTTGTTGTGTTAAGCAAACTCGTTACTGGACCTAAGATAACCTAGCATAAAATGTTAGGTTTTTCTTGTATGTTCTGAATAGATAACTTGCTAGAGTTGAAAATACTGACTAATTTACTAATGACAAGCTTCATGTCCTGAATAAGATTCAGGACATGAGTAAGACTCTTTGGTTCACTTTAAAATGCAGTTTCTAAACTATAGGAATTTACAAGGTGTTTGGTTCACTTTAAAATGCAGTTTATGAACTATAGGATTTATAAACCCTCTGAAAACATAGTAAGTAGGTATTATGGGCAAAAATTTTATTTATTTTGTTCTGTAAAAAATTGCTTATATAACCTATTATTTGTATCAGCAAGGTTAAATGACATCCCCAAGAAGAAAAATAGGGCAGATCTTATGTAATAATGATATAAATGAAAATTTCTGAATGGTTGTTTGATTTGTGTTAAAGATGAAAATTTGTAGACAGTTTTTTCTTTAATTAAAGATGTAGCATACTTTAAGTGGTATACTCTTAGCAAAAAATATCTAATATCACAAACACTTGTCCACATACATACATACATATATACATATATACACACATACATACACATATAGGAAATGGTGAGGGAGAGAGACAAAATCTAGATTTATATCCAAATTTCAATTCATATGCCATGGTTCAGATCTTGAATTTCCATTCAAGAGATTAGGTTTTACCTCAGAATTTTCCTTGATACTGATGAAAAAAAAAGAAGTTATGATTTTCTTGTCTGATTATAAGAGGTGGATTCTGTTGTTATATCAAGTATCCAGCAAATCTTGGTTTGCTATCAAACTGACCCATCAAGATCAAATGCTATCTCTTCTATCTCCATCATTCAGAATTATTTACCAAAATTTTCCTCTCCAGATTTCTTTCTTGCCAAACAAACAGCAGCTACTGTTTAGTTGTCGGCTTAATCAGCCTCTTCCAGAAAAAGTTAGATCAAACAGTCACTAACATGCAAGGAATTTAATATAAAACAAAATGATATATATGTAATTTTTTTAATCAGTTTACTAATTAAAATTATGTTTCCTCAATATTTTACAGGTATCAAAAATAAATTTTGTTTTTAATTTTATTGAATTAGAAGTAAATACAAATGTAATGTGAAATTATAAATATTCTATCTTAAAGAAATAAAATATTTTAAAGAAGTAATTAAAATATTTAGTTAAAAAATATTAAATGTTAACTAAAATATAATATAATCTATAATAATAGTTAAAACATAATCCATAGTAAATGTAAGTTAATATTATAAAGATACAATACTAAATATTTATTAATAAAATTGTGAAGAATTAAAAATAAAACTAAAATTTTATTAATCTTATATATATTGGAGCATAATAGACTAGGTTTGGACAAGTTATCATTAAATTCATACATGTCATACACCCCTTTCGTGCTTATAACTTTTGATTAATACTTGTTCTATACCTTATTAATTATGAATTTTTACTCTCCTTAATCTCTTATTGTCAATGAAACTAAAGAGATATTAAATGAATGAAATTTGAATGTGGATGGAATATAATTATAATGAAATAGAGTCACTTTGAGGTTTTCTATGAAATAAGACATGGAACGGAACCACTACGAAGAAGTTTCAGGAGTTACGAAGGAAAGTTCGAGTTCATATTGGTCATGGTTGAGAACGAGAATTGAGCTCTATAAGATCTAATATCCTGTTATTCCTCTGTACCTTAGTGGTATTGCGGTCAGCTATTAACTGATTGGTCGTAGGTTTAAACCATATTTTAAAAAATTTGATTTATTTCGAATTAAAGAATTCAAAATATTAGAACGAAAGCGTTTGTTTTAACCATTAAGAGTAGGTAACTCGTTCCTTGTGTTTTTGTTTCTATTGCATTCTATCTCATCATATCACATTTTGTTCTGTCATATTTGAGAATCACCATCAATATTTCGGTGTAGGTCCTGGATTAGGAGCAAATTGAGGTGAATCCGTAAAGGCTCAAAACCTTAAGGGAAAAAAATTATATTGTAATGGCAGAAACAAATAATAATATTAGCTTTTATATTCTTTACACAGTAAATTAAAATGCTCAATAAGTTTACGAGAATGTTCATTTTACAATAATTCATAGAAAAAATGAAATAAATAGTTGAAAACAAAGAAATAAATGTCATATGGAGTTAATCTCCACCAACAACTTTGATAAAGTTCGAGAGGTATCTCACTCCACTATCCTACTTTCAGGATCTACATATTGGTATTCTAATCTGAA